TCAAAAATTATACAGAATCTGTAAGTGTATTCGTGTAAATTTTCTCTGTGTGGAAGATAGTTATAGTATTGAGCATTATGACAATAATACACGGCGAAATGAAGATGGTCGTTATGTGGTTACTTTACCATTTCGTGATAATATTGAAGATTTGGGTAATTCACGAAGAAATGCTTTAGCACAATTATTGCATCAGGAACGGCGTCTCGAAAGAGATGCAAAGTTAAAACAAATGTATGATGAGTTCATCAATGAATATATTAATATGGGTCATATGGTGGAATGTGAAGATTCGGACATTCAAAGTGGTTATTATCTGCCACATCATGCAGTGTTCAAGGATAGTACAACAACTAAACTAAGAGTGGTGTTTGATGCCAGCAGGAAAACGTCTTCGGGATTGTCGTTAAATGATTGTATGATGGCGGGTCCAAGAATTCAAGATGAATTATATAACATAATGTTGAGATTTCGTTCGTATGAAATCGCTTTCACTGCGGATGTAGCAAAAATGTATCGTCAAATTTTGGTTGCAGAGGAACAACAAAACTATCAAAGAATTTTATGGAGAAAAAACAAAAGTGAAAATATAAAAGAATATAAATTAACGACTGTGACTTATGGAACAAGTTCAGCACCTTTTGTTGCAGTAAATACACTTATAGCTATTGGAAAACAATGGCAGGACAAATTGCCAGAAGCGGCTCAGATTATTCAGAGAGATTTTTATATGGATGACTGTATGAGCTGTTGTGAAACCTTGGATCAAGCAATTCGTTTGCAAAAAGATGTAACGCAAATTCTTGCAGAAGCTGGTTTACCATTAAGAAAATGGAGTTCAAATAATATGGATTTAATAAACGCAATTCCTTTGGATCAACGAGAAGGTGCTCAAACAGATGGAGAAGCTTCAATTTCAACTTTGGGCTTAAGATGGTTTAACTTAAAGGATGAATTCGGTTTCAAAATGAATCCATTTAAGGATGTAAAAACAGTAACAAAAAGAATCGTTTTATCAGAAATAACAAAAATGTATGATCCATTGGGTTTATTAGCACCATTTACAGTATTATGTAAAATATTAATGCAAAAATTATGGGTTGCGAATCTGGATTGGGATAGTGAGATTCCAAAAGAAATTGCGGCAGAATGGGAAAGTTACAAAGAAGAAATACCAATTTTATTGCAGTATCGTTTGAAACGATGGATCGAATATAAAGCTGGAGCTCAGTTTGAATTACACGGATTTTCAGATGC